ATGTCGAACAAGTCAATCATAAAATATTTGTATTATTTTTTAAGAAAATGTCAAATCAAGCTTATTACGAGTTAATAGTACTGATATTTTTTTTCAAATTTTTATGAAATCTCAATTTAATGTAAAAAATGAGGTATATATTACCAATTGTTATAATAAATTTTAGTGAGTTAGAACCAGCTTTTGCATTCATTATTAAGCAAATATAAATATTTTGCGTCTCAACTTACTAAAACGAGACATTCTTGCATTATCCTCACACAAGGCTTTGTCTTTTCAATTATCATTCCAAGAATTCGAAAAATTTGAATTCTTGAAAAATCCTTGAAAAATTGGTACAATTTTATCATACTCCTCTTCAAATAAATTCACGAACAAAGCGAAAAAAGTTTTATTCAATACATTAATAAATTTTTTGACATTTTGTTTTTATAAATAACATACATACATATAATTAAATGTCATTTTGATATATGTGTCAATATCTCTTTTCCTTTATAATAAAAATATTCTTAAATTCATAACGTGTAAACAATTTAATTTTTTTCTTTTTGCAAGAACCAAAGTAATCAATTTAAGTACTCACATCACAATTTTTACATATTTATTTTACATAATTCTTAAAACAAATTCATTTTTGAATAAATGTCAAATTTTAATGGATTCCATGTAATTTTTGACATCATTCCACACAGTGTTACCTGCACCCAAATTGAAGAAAACAATTTCTCTGTACACTCTTTGTGTATATTATTAATTTCCATTAAGCCTATTGTGTTGTATATTGACAAAATAAAGAGAAATTATTTAAAAAAATTTCAAAATATTAAAATCAATTTAGGAAAAATAAGAAGAGATTCAGGGGTAAAAAATGGTAGGGGTGTAAATATAAAACATCAGTCAGCAATAAAAAAATTTTTGTTGGTGATGGTTATTTATCGCCTTATCGGCTTTTTTTTATTTATTTTGATATTTTTGAACGAAAATTGACATAAAATATTATTTTTTATTGCAACAGTTAAAGTCGATACTTGTATTATATTATGTTATATAAATGAATATTTTAAATGATATTATTTTTATATGGCTAGTGAATGTCAAAGGTATTCTCACATGCACACAAATTTACATTGAGAACTAAAGGCAAGCGACTGAACTAAAGAAATTCCTCAAAATAAATTGTTGATTTTATTTATTTGTGGCCTTTTTATTTGTTGTTCTTATTTCAGTTTACCAATAGTTAATATTTTGTATGGTGTAGGTGTATATGTAGTGTGATGGTAGACAGGTTTGTGTTGTAAAAGTGAAAATTATTTTTTCGTTTGTTGTTTTTTTTTTTTTGCAAAAATAATTTTATTAAATATTTTTATTTCATTTTGAAATGATTTTCTTTTTATGCATTAACACAAAAAAAAAAAACAAATTATCAATTAAAGATGGCACTATAATAAATGAAATATTATTTTATACAAACATTAAATACTTGACACGAGGCTGTGTTTTGAAATCAAAATTGAAAAAACTTAATGTTCATATTTTGGGAAGGTTTACTGACGAAGTATTGCTTCTTGAGGAAAATGGCCAAGAGTCATGATATTGCGGAAGAGGAGGACATGGAACACTTTTTCATGTCCGTACGTTTCTGGTCTGGAAGAGGAAACACATCCTGGGGGCCGCGCTTTGCTGAGGAACTTGTCCTGTCAGGGGACACTTTGGCGAAGCTCTTGAGATTTGTCTTGATATTTTTTGGGTTTGTCATTAAATGAGGGTCGTCAAATGTGTTAATTTGACAGTTGCAGATGAGCCTTCTTGTTAGTGTAGTGTATGTTTATCGTATGGGTGATTATTACTACGTTACACCTATTATACTTTGGAAAGTTTTTTCTCAGATTTTTAAATTTTGAAGGAACATGAGTGTAAAAAAATTACAAAAATCAATAAATTTTTCATATTCATTAATATTTTTTAAATTGTAGAATGCAAATAATGTTCAATGTCACAAAAGCTAGGAAATTATTTATTTAAAATATAAATTAATTAAGAATATTATTTATAGAATGAATTAATTCGAATTATTATAATTTATTTATAAATACCACAGGATAAAATAACAAAAATTATTATATTAATCCTTACACATTTTTTAATATTTTAATAAAAATAAATCGGAATTAAATTAATGTAATATGTAATTAAATAAATTTTCGTTTTAAATGAAATTTTACTTTACCATTCCTTTCAAATTTGTGATTAAAAAGAAAAACAAAACACAAAAAATGGCTGTTGTGTTAACCTTTAATATTTTAATTTGATGAAAATAATAAATTTATTATGACGTGAATATATTGGTTTCATCAATATATTCAGGATAAAATCGATACTTACTCAATAATAATTAAAATAAAGGATGAAAGAATAAGGTTAATTTTTGAAATTTTTTTTTTTTTGGTTAATTGGTATATCGTTATTGAATTTTCAAAATTCAATCAAAAAAAAATTTATTAATATTTTAATAGGATCAAAATTAAGTAATTATTATAATGAAATATATAACGAAAATTAAGGTAAATACGCCTTTTTATAATGTTCTCTCACTTATATTTAATGATTTTCGTACTTAAATTAAATAATGATTTATTAATTTCGTTCAAAGGATTGTGCTTGGCTTATTATGAAAATCTATCTACTTTACAGTATTGCACGGCTACTAAAATTAAACTGTAATTAAGTTCTTTATCAAATTTCACTTTACAACAAAATAGTCACTATGCATGCGTTCGGCTTAGTGTAACTGATCGTCAATTGACATTATTGAAATTTTGCTGTTTGACCTTTGCGATATTTTTATTACAAGTCAAATAAAAAAAAAATTTGCTTATCTGGAAAAAAATAAACGAAAATTTGATTAACATGACCGCATCGAACACATGATTTTCACAGTTGACTTAAACGAGCAATAGGGGTATCGAATATTGACGTCTGTTGCGCTTAGCAGAAAGCTGAAATTGAATATTGGTATGAAAAGTTCCTACTTTAAATTTAAATTGAAATCATAATTACTTTTAACAAATCTTTTTTTTTTCTTTCATTTTCATCCTCAAAATTATTTTGCTACCTTTAATTTTCACCATTTTAATCTTTTACATTAATGTCAAATCGTGTTTAAAAATCTAAGCAAATTGCTATATAAATTTTAAATTCGGCATCCCCCACCCCCGTAAAATGTAAACATTTTTCTATTTTCTTAATAGGAAAAAAATCAAAAACAAAAAGTTATTTAAAAAAATTTACTTTCTTTATTTTGTAAATATCGAAATTAAATTGTTTAAACACGAATATTTTAAGCAAATAAAATTTAATATCCTTGTAAATCAGTTTTTTTATGTGGTAATTATCGTAAATAACAAAAAAATTACAAAAATAAAAAGAAAAGTTTTTCTTTTATCAAATTTTTTCATTTGCTTTACTTCACTGTTTTTTGCTCCAATTACCATCATTACACACAATTCGTGTGAAGAAAACAAAAGTTAAAATTTTTTAACATATCCTAGATACTCGTATTATTCTAAAAGCAAAAAAAAAAATTAACCTACTTTCTCTAATAATATTGACGAAAAATTTTCTCTAGCACCTAACTTGTATTCCATTTAAATATTTGATTTCTTTAATATTTATATTATGAGCATAGGTAAAGGTACGAGTATGTCTTGCGAATTATGTTGTATATAATATAAAGTTGATGTCAATACATACATACATACGTACTTTTGAAAATCAGTTCTAACAATTATTCTTTCATACCTACTGGGAGGATATGTTATGTTGATGTATACAGCGTGTTACTGGATATTAAATTGTTTTGTTGTATATTATTGTGTAAATTCTATAAGAATTTCCATTTAAATTTGAAAAAACAAAACAAAAATGAACATAGAAAACAAAAATATCCTGAATAAATAAAAATCAATTTAAGAAAACATTCTTGTTACAGTGAATTCAGCATAATATTCTTTTAATTCAATTGGGAGAAAGTTTCATGATCAGATTACAGAAATGAGTATAAATTAAATAGATAGAGAGAGAGAGACAGAGAGAGGGTCAGTAAGCTTTTTTAAAAAGAGAATGTACTGTAACAAAAAAAAGACCTAATTATCACAAAAATAAAAATTATTTACACTTCGAATATCTGATCTACCGTTTTGAAGGACCTTTGATGCAATCATCATGTGAATTTCACAGAGAGAGAGAGAAAATGAGTGTTTATATAAAAGAACACTGGGGGGGCTGGCAAAGAGTAAAGCATTTCAATTTTGCTATTTTAACACATCTAGAACTAAGTACGTGAATTTATTTCTATTGCGTTCATAATTGTTTCATAAAGTTGATCTGATCTAGGATCTGAAGTATTGAATATCAGAAAGTAAAATTATTTGTCGTCTATCAGGAAACTAAAATTTAACTTGTACACATTCTACTGTAATATTAAATCAACATTCAAGCATTTCACTAGTCAGATCTATATTACGCCTATATATATGCAATAAGAAAGTAATTTTTTAACATTTACAACTTTAAAAATTTTTTTTAAAAAACCCATACACAATCGAGAATTTATCGAGATATTTTCTCAGTTCTTTCAATAGAATTTCTTATTTTTTTAGGATATTATTTTTTTTATGTTACGTTCTGTTTTTCTTTCTTTTATTCTAGCATGACTAATGAAAATTGCTTAGTACGCAATTTTTTTGTATTTTTATTTTTACCTTATCATATTATGTACGAAAAATTCGCATTATATATGGGATGGAGCCTTAACACATTAGGAGGCGAAAAAAGTTGAAAAGTTTGTCTTTTCACCATTTCTCTTATTCTATTCTATATATTTTTGTTCGTTTTTCTTTTTTCTATTATAAATGTTTTATACCAGATGTGGCGAACCTTTTTACCCTTAGAGACCATATTTAGAATAACAGTAACAATTTTTTTTATTTTATATTCAGTTTTTCTTTATAGACCGCTAGCAATAAGGGACGAGAACGAAGTGAAGCAACAAACCAGAATAGTAGTTGACCACCGTAAACATAATTTAAAGAATTTACGGGATTGCGCAAGAAATCCAAAGACACCACAGCAGGACTTGGGCCGCAGGTTTCACGCCTATGTTCTATACCATCTAATGTGTACTTTCCAAAAAAAAGAAAAATTTTTTTTACTTTTTCTTTTTGTCTATTTAGGAAATTTGCACACGATTAAATTTAAAAAGGAAAATTAAACATATAGTAAAAACCAACAAAAAAAAACTTGAATGAAATTTTTTTTATTCGTCACACGTTTAAAAGTCGTTTATTTTTCCAAGAAAAATAGAAAAAATGGAAAAGAAAAAAGGTACACACACACTTCCATTTTTAACCCCGAAGTAATTTTTTTTGAATTCTTCGCTTTTTATTAATGCCTTCGTTTTGTTTCTTTTGTTTTCTTTTCATTCTTATCGCTATTAGGAGTCAATTCTAGGTAAATAATAAAAGTTTAAAGAAGATATGAAAGAAGAAACCCTACTTTTATTCATAAAATAGAGTTGAAGAGTAACTGTACGTGTAGAACGGATGATATTGCAGGAAATATTTTTATAAGGAACCATAGATGAATAGACGAGTGCAAGAATGTAAAGAAGAATATTGAGGTTGGAGCACAAAAGCAAATAATACAAACAAAAAAGTTGTATACAAAATGGAAAAAAAACCTTTTTTCTTTTCTGTTTTTTTTCTGAGGTCGTTAGTTGACAAATATTGTAGGAACTGATTTTTAAAATTCCTTGTAAATTTGTAACACATTACGCCAATGGCATATTTGCCAAATTGTAATATTTTTTTTTAAATATTAAACGTTCCGAGAATACTTTTTACTTATTCTTATTTTTTGAAACACATCATTTTTCAGGGTTTAGACAAAATAATGTTAGTAACCTTGAAGAAAAATCTTAGTAAAATTTGTTTTTACTCGTAAGTATTGTTTTGGTATGCTAGAATAAAAATTTATTTTGTTTTTATATTAAAATCTTGTAAATTTATGCATATTTTTTAGGAGATATAAAGAATTTTTTTAAAGAAATTCTAAAATATTGAAAATTGAATTGTTTTTAACCAATGCAAAATTTCTAAAATTCAACTTTTGTTGAAAGTAAAAAACATTCGAAATTTTATTTAAAGTAATGGCGAAACTGAAATTTTCTGCTACTATTTGCAAAGACCAGTACCAATGTCTAGGATTTAAATCACGTTGGTTTGGTATCACTGATAACAGTAGTAGGCTTCTTAAGTTGGGTATAGAAGAATTTATTTCTTCTCTTATTGATTTTTTACCCCCTATTATAAGAAATATCCGGCTCAATTTTTGCGTTCCATAATACAGTCAGTTATACCCCTTGTTCTTCATTATTTCGAGAAAGTTTAATACTGTCGCTATTCTGCACTCAGTGTAGTATTACAGATAACTGCTTCCTCTCAAATGCTTGTTCCAAACAATCGTATGAAAAGCTGTTGTTGCTCCTTTTCCCAATGTTACTACAAAATCTTTAGATAATTCTAAAAAAATTCATTCGTATTCAAATTTCAATAGAAAATTATTACTTAAACATAAGCATTTTCTTAGAAAATATTTTACAATACAAATAAAAATTTTAAAATTTAAATTTTCTAATAATAATTAACGTTAAATATGACAATATTTTTTCCAAGAACTTTATAAAATTAAAAATTTTTTATATTTCATTTTTGAGAATTACAATTACATATATTTTTCATTTGAATATTTTAAACAAATAAGAATATCAAATTTCTCTACTCTAAAAGTCTCCCCCTTCCCCTTGATTTGAATTTCCTCCAAAAAAAAAAAAAGAACAGAGATACAAAACACACCTTGTAACTTTCCTCAAAAACATAAAATCTTTAAATGATTTTAATGGTGAAATGATCCTCCAACAAAAGTGCAATGACATTATTGAGCCTATACAAGAATCATGAATCCACCATAATCTTATATATTGACTTGTACGAAACATATATTTACGTACATACATATATCCAATTCCAATATAAGAAAAATGTCATTATAGAAATCATATGCAAGACAGATGTCATTCATTGCATTTTACATGCTCTTAAACTAAAAATAAACTACATTTAATATTAGAGTAATAATGATGAAAAAAATTATAATAAAATGTTCATATAAAATTTTGTACACAATATATTGAGAGCTGAAATAAAACTAATGAAATAGTTTCTCTATAATACAAATTCTTATATAAACTGATCCGCAATAGTAATAAAACCGGAATCGGAAAACTATACTTAAAGTAAAAGTACATGATATCAGTGCTCAAGTGCGGCTCTCATTTATGCGGCTCAAACAATTGTTGAGCAGAGAACTTATCAACTAAATAGTTGGTTATTTAATGTTGGTACATGGTACAAGTTCGTTGAGGCAGGACGAGTGCGATTGTGTACTTGGTTGACTCGTCTTCTTAGCATTTCCATTCATGTATCGGCGCTATATTATATCAAATGTGTTATATGCTAAATTTATGCAAATATACCCGAGGTTGTAGCCACTCAAATTTTAAGGAAGTCATTTTGTTAATATAAAAAACATCATGAAATTTTTTTTGTTGTCATAAATTGTATGTGGGTACCTACTTAATTAATGGTACTTTTGAAAATTTTTGAAAAATCTGGTTTTGGCTCCTATTCACCCTATACGTGGGCAACCGTGGTATATGCGGTAAAAATTTCTGTAAAATACATTGAAATTTAATGGTGCCTTTTATCTTAAAATGATATTTAAAGCTTTTATGACTTTCAGGAATTTTAAAATATTAAGAATGCTATAGGGTTTTAATTTTTACAAATTGTTTAAATATTATACATACATACATATAAAGTGGTTTACATTCAGAGTTCTGAAGTTATTCTATTTTTCTTCGGAACGGTACGTCTTCGTAAGAAGATCGAGTAAAATAGCAAACTTGTGGCATTATCATATTTTAAAATAAAAAAATTACTCAAACAGAGCAATTTCATGTTATCAAAACTTAAGAAAACACCTCTTATACCTTGCTAATTAGAAACACAAATCTGATTTTTTTATATTTTTACTACAAAATAATGGAACAATTTCTCACTAATTGAAACTGAAACACTTAATTATTTGAAATTTAAAAAAATTTAAATTTTGCTTTATGTAAGTATATGTATTTTATAATTATATTTTCTTTTAATTCATTGGACAAGATTTTAATTAGTGAACAATATAATATGTATGTGTGGTAACATTAAATTTTTAATTTCCTTTAAAAATTCATTCTCAAAAATTTCGCAAATATTTAATTTTTAAGTGGCATGAAGTCAGTCTATTTATAAGTCATGTAAATATTATGCTTGCTATATAAGTGTATATACTTACATTTTATAATGTTTACATTAACAATTAGCTCATAAGTTAAAACGTGAGATAAAAATAAATTGTTTGGCTGCTAGGTCCGCGATTTTTTGTCTTAACACATTTGAAATTGTAATAAATTTGGTAGCTGTTTTGTATTATACAAATTTTTTTTTGAAAGAAAAAATGTTATATAATTATATAAAAAATACAGAAAATGTTTATAAAATGTAGAGATTTCACGGAAATAAAGAATTTCTACCAAAAATAGATTTTGCTACTTAATTATGCGTAAACGTTTGTAAACATATTAATACTTTTTAATATTATTTCTAATAGGGTTGGGAAACTCTAACCAAACTTTTTTCGTTATACATATAAGGTCATTACGTAAAGCATTGTTAGGTGAAAATGTTCATTACGTAACGCAATTATGCTTTGCTGTTATGTAAAATTTCATTCAGTCTAATTCAACTAGACGCAACGCATGTATATAAACATGTGTAAGGTGACAAATTTGGTATTCTATTGAGACTCATGAAAATTAAAGGAATATAATTAGATATTTTAATAGCATTATTAACCAATTTTATTAATTGCAGTGTATAAGTAACTTATCGATAGCAATTTCAAATTTTAATCGAGTTAATGAAAAATTCATTTTCTTCATCACTTTTATTCAAAAACCAAAAAAAACGTTCGAAAAACTGTTTCTTTCTCCAATTTCTTACTTGTCAAAAAATTTCAAGTCACGCTTCTTCTGCCATCTCATATTTCGCGGCCAGTAGAATATCAAAAAAAAATATCACGCGTCTAGTAGAATAAGGCTGGTTATTTCGGCAATATAATAAAAAAAAATTGTAATTACAATAAACTTTTCATAAAAAATTTCAAGATTTTCAAGTACAAAAATCTAATATTTTCCATTTAAAATTTAATATTTTTCAAAAAGTTCATCCGCAACACAAATTTATTTTCAATTTATGAAATAATTTTTCTGCTATACTGAACAGTAATATAAATCATACAAGAAAATTTTTAATAAAAAACAAAAACACTAAAACCTCATCGAAAAACGATTAAGAAAAAAAAACCTGTCATGGTATTTTATTTTCTAAAATTAAAATGAAAGAAAATTTTCCTTACATAGCTCTAGCTACCGCATATACCAATTTATAATACACTTAGACGTGAATTTATTTATATATTTCTTATGAAAAGCAAACTATGTACAAGTTTACTAACTCTCCTTCTATATTTTTGTTTAAAGAGTTGTACATATATGATATATAGAGACGACGGTTGAATTGATCTTAACAAATAGATATTTTTCCACCACAGAAATATAGAATTTAATATAAAAAATATACAACTATTTAGAAAATATCCGGGTTTTTCCTAGTTTTCATCCTATATCCTTTTCTTAATACATCACCATATTGTATGTTGCAAAACTGTATGTTTTATAAAGGACAGTAAAACTTGTCAGGGAGGGACGCTGTCAAAGACCAAAAAATTTTAACTTTACTGTCACTAAAAAATATTTTCTATATGGAAAAACGAACAAATTTGTTTAACGCGACACCTGGAAGAAACATTTAAAATTAAGAGGAATTTTTTTCATATATTGGCAAACTGGCAATGCCGTAAAGTTCTCACAAAATATCATTACTGGAATTCTGTCACAAGTGTCATTATTACATATTTTCATATTTTTTTTTATTCACGCTATTATTGTATTTTAATCAAATTAAGAAGACCACACGAATAATTGTATGTAATTTATTTGGTTTCGGGCTACGAAAATCTTAATCATAGTTCTATTTTAGATATAATAATAAAAAGGATTAGAAACTTAGCTATTTAACAGAAGTACAAAATTATCCAACCTGTACATATCGGGAAACTGTCTGAGCTGGAAATTAAATTTCAGTTCCTTGGATTTCCAACTTTGACAACTTTTACTGTTTATACAGCAAAGCAATCAAATAGGTACATATTATTGTAATATAGTATTTGTTATATAATATTGTATGTATATATATAGTGTAAACAATTTATGAAAACCAGTATGTTGCGGTTAAAAATGAGTTAATCGGATGTAGCTTACTATTAAGATTTATTGAAAAATTCTAGAAAAACTATTAAATATTATTATAGAAATATTAATATTTAAGTATATTATATACATGTACAAGAGAAAAAGAAAAGAAAGCAATAATATAAACTCAAACTAACTTTTTATATAATCAAGAAATATTATTTTCAGTGTAGAAAAGTTTAAAAAATTATAAATGGATTTTTAAATATAAATGATTTATGAAAGTGTTACAATAATACAATATATATGTCTTGTATTTATGTAGAATTGTATATGAATGCAATTTTGTATATTTCGAATAAATTCTTATAAAATAGTATGAATGTAAATATTGTGGCAGATTTAGTTATACTAAAATGATATTTTTTCTTTTTTGC